GCTTACCAATATCAGCTTCAGAGTCATCTTCACCGTATGCGCTAAGAGCCAACTCGGACTATTAATGATTTCCTCTCCCAAATTTATTCTGTTTGGGATCAGCTCGTTCTCTCTAAACCTCCATGGTCCCTTATTGAGGATGCTGCCCTGTTTATTACTTATCGCAACCAGCAATGATTGGTTTAGTTTCTTATAGATCTAACTCCCTATTTTGAGCCGGTGCGCGCATCTCTCATTCATCACACTCCTTTACCCACTCTTGAGCAAGCTATTTTTGAACTACTATCAGAGGAAACTAGGCTTGGTACTCTCCATCCACACCTTGTGAACTTTGTTCTTGCTATTCCCAGACTCAGAGTTCTCCTTCACAACAGCGGTCCATTGCTTGCAATTACTGTCTAAACTGAGGTCTTCCATCTACTCATCTTCTAGTTCATTGTCTTGTTCGACTTTGCCAAATTTGCAACAAGACTGGTCCTGGTCATCTACAGCAAGATTGGTTCCGCAATCCAGTATGAGCCTCTCTTGGTTTATCTTCTCGTCATGGTCCTTCCACTGGGAGTTTTTCATAGGAAAACTCTCAACGTTCTGAGAATCAGTTTAAGTCTTTGCATGTTCATCGCGTTGCTGCTGCTACCTTAGAGGATTTATCTTTTTTTTTTGGGTGAATAAAAGGATTTATCTTCTTCTATGCCTACAGACCCTTCTACTCTACTCTTTTCTCAAACTGATATCAAAGCCATGTTCTAACATCTCCCATTTTTGGTACTCCTCATTCTATTGCTTTGTTGTCACCTCAAGTAACACTTCCTGGTACTTTAACTCAAGTTGTTGTAATCACATGACCTCCGACCCTACTATTTTTACTTCTCTATCTTCTCATCCTCATGTTTCTTCTATTCATACTGTTGACGGGGTCTCTTTTGTCTGTAAGTCATGTTGGTTCTGTTTCCACATCTCACTTATCTTTATCTCATGTGTATCTTATGACTGCTCTTACCTTAAATCTTATCTCCATTGGTTAATTGAATGAGCATAGTCTAACTGTTACCTTTTCCCCTACTGGTTGTTTGGTGCAAGACCCTCGGACGGGACGGACTCTTGGGATCGGCTGTAAGCATGGACGTCTCTATGAACTCATTCACCTTCATGTTCTGGTTTCTTCTCAGCTTGCAGCTCCTACTACTACTCATCTTTTATCTCCTTTTCAACTTTGGCACTGTCGTTTAGGACATCTTTCTGTTGGTCGGTTAAAGTCTTTAATTTCTAGTAGTCAATTAGGCCCTATTAGTTCTGATACTTTAGATTGTTTGCCATGTCAACTTGCCAAACAACCTGCTTTATCATTTAATAAAAGTTACTCTATTTCTCTTGCACCTTTTGATCTCATCCATTCTTATATTTGGGGCCCCTCCCCTACTCCTATTATGGGAGGTGCACGCTATTTTGTTGTTTTTATAGATGATTTTTTTGGTTTTACATGGTTGTTTCTTATGAAAAATCGCTCTGAGCTCAAACAACTTTATTACAATTTTGTTAAAATGGTCCAAACCCAAATTTCTAAAACTATTAAGCTTTTTCGCTTCGACAATGCAATGGAATATAAAGATTTCTTCAGAGTCATGTTACTCAGCCTTATTGTTCCTGTCCCGGCACGTCTCAACAAAATGGACGTGTTGAATAGAAACATAGGCATATTCTCGACACTACTCGAGCTCTTCTTCTCTCTTCTTCTTGTCCGAAATTTTTTTGGGGCGAAGCCATTCTCGCTGCTGCTTAAACTATCAATTGTATTCTTACGCCTGTCATTCATAATCACACTCCCTATGAGCGTTTATATGGCACTCATCCCACTTACATCAATCTTAGGGTCTTTGGTTTTGCATGTTTTGTTCTTCTCCAACCTTATGAACACAACAAACTTGAATCTCGTTCACGTCTTTGTTACTTCTTGGGGTATGGTATTGATCATAAAGGGTATTGTTGTTGGGATCCTATCTCCCAACGCCTCTGTATCTCTCATCATGTGGTTTTTTTGGAAACACAAAATGTTTTCCTCCCTCTCCCAATTCTGCTTATCCATTCATTTCCCCTTTCTATTTTTTACTAAACCTTCCATAGATCTGTTTTCTGATGAGATTGATACAGGGCCCCTGCCTGCCCCTTTAGAGACATCCTTGCCTACTGGTCTTTCACGTGAGCATGCTCGCTCTGCTGGTCCTGCTCTTGCTCCCTCGGGATCCTCACCTCATGTTGAGTCTCTCTCATGCCCTTTGGCTTCTCCACCCTCCGCTCGCTCACATCGGCTAACACAACCTTCTACTTATTTTCATGATTATATTGTTGGTTCCACTATTTTTTCTACTCATGAACCTACATCCTATTGTGAGGCTTGCTCTAATCCTCTTTGGTAGCATGCTATGATTGATGAATTGCAGGCTTTAGACAAAACTCATACTTGGGATGTTGTTGATCTTCCCTCTGACAAGACTGCCATTAGCTGCAAATGGGTGTACAAAACCAAGACACACTCTGATGGCTCTATTGAGAGATACAAAGCCCGCCTTGTTGCTAAAGGCTTCAACCAGGAATATGGTATTGATTATGAGGAGACCTTTGCTCCTGTTACCCGTCTTACCTCTGTTCACTGCTTGATTATTGTTGCTGCTACCCGTCAACGGGACCTTTATTAAATGGACGTGAAAAATGCATTCCTTAATGGTGATCTTCTAGAAGAGGTCTACATGCAACCTCCCCTTGGGTTTACTTATCCGCCTCGTAAGGTATGCAAACTTCAACATGCATTATATGGTCTTAAGTAATCCCTGCGAGCTTGGTTTGCCAAGTTCAGCTCTACTATTCATGATTGTGGTTTCACCTCCAATTCTTATGATACTGCTATCTTTTTGTGAGGAAAACTACTTAAGGGACCACCCTACTTCTGCTTTATGTAGATAGCATGATTATCACTGGTGATGATGTGGATTGTATTCTTCGCCTTAAACAGTTTCTTAGCCATCATTTCGAGATGAAAGACCTTGGTTCTCTTAGCTATTTCTTGGGTCTTGCAATCTCTTATGATTCCACGGGTTCGTTTCTCTCTCAGGCTAAGTATACCTCTGATCTTTTCGCTTGTGCTAGTCTTACAGATTGCACGACTGCCTCCACTCAACTGGAGACTTAGAGTCGTCTTACTCCTCTTGATGGCACTCTACGCTTTGATGCTACTCTGTATCGTCAGTTGGTTGGTAGCCTTGTCTATCTCACTATTACTCGTCCTAGCATTGCTTATGTTGTCCATATTGTCAGCGAGTATATGTCGACTCCTCGTACACCTCATTATGATGCTTTAGTTCGTATCCTTTGCTATCTCAAAGGCACGTTGTTTCATGGTCTTCATTATTTCGTCCACTCCTCGCTTCAACTTCGTGCCTTCTCCAATGCTGATTGAGTTGGGGATCCTACTGACTGTCGCTCTACTACAGGATTTTGCTTCTTCTTAGGCGATTCTCTTATTTCTTGGCGCAACAAGAAACAATCTCTTATTGTTCGTTCAAGTATAGAAGCCAAATACCGTGCTCTTGCTGATATTACTTAGGAGCTTCTTTGGCTTCTTTGGCTTCTTGTTGACATAGATGTTACCCCCTCTGGTGCTACTAACCTCTATTGTGACAATCATAGTGCTATTCAAATTGCTCACAATGTTGTTTTTCATGATTGCACCAAGCACATTGAGATTAACTGCCATGTTATTCGTCAACATGTCACTCATGATACTGTTCATCTCCATCCGATCTCTTCTGCTGATCAACCTGCTATATCTTCACTAAAGCTTATCCTCCTGGCCACTTCATTGAACTTGTTTTCAAATTCAAGTTGGTTGATGTTTATTCTCCTTGAGTTTGAAGAGGGCTGTTAATGTATATCTATATAGATATATATGTATGTTTAGATAGCTATATGTAGCTGTTAATGTATATCATATAGATAGATATGCATGTTTTGATAGCTATGTTTTCTCCTATGTAAATGAGACCATGTACATTGATTTTATATAATATATTTTCACAGAGACTCTCTTTCTCTCAACTTCTTTAACATTGTTGATGACAATTTCAAGAATTGGAGTCTGATGAAGAAAGGTAATCGGAGGATCTATATGAAGTTTTGTTTTGGTTTGTTGATTTTGATCGGTTGCTTCGCTTTCGTCTGATTCGGTGGGACATATCTCTATTTTGTTACAGTTTTTTATATGTATTCTATGTATATACGAATGTATTGATCTTGTTTGCTGAAAATATGGTGATTTTTGTGTTTCTGTCATTAACACAAAAAAATTGTGATCTTGTTTGCTGTGAGAGTTGCTTAAGCAATATCGTCATAAAAAAAAAATGCAAATTGAACAGATAAAAAACAAATTTCAACATATTGCAAATTAAACAAATAAAAAAAAATAGATCTAAATAAATAAGAAAAGATCTCAACAGATAAGAGAAAATAAGTTTAAAAATTTTCAACAAATAAGAAAATATTTGATTTTCACAGATTTTAAATAGATAGAGAGAGAAGCCCATTGATTTTGCACAGATATAGAAAAAAAAATTGAACAGATAAAAAATAATCTAAACAAATAGATATAAATTTAAACATACAGATATAAATTTAAACTGATAATAAAAACAAAGTCAACCAAAAAAATCATAAATTATGAGTAAAATTCAAAACATGTTCTTTAAAACTAATAAAAATTTACTAACAAAAAAATATTTACTGAATCTAATATTTTATAGCTGGCTTAAATTAAACTTTTTAACAATTATCTCATAAAAGTATATAATTTTCTCTTTACTTATAACCTTACCCTTATTTTGATCTCTAATACGGAAGCAAAGTGCGGTGGTACTACATACACCAATTAATGTACTAATACTAATTATAACATTATTATTAACCCTACTCATTAATCATATTACAAATCTCAAAAACTTTTTAAATTATACTAATATCAAAGTGAAAGCTTGGAACCCTAAAAATTGGAGATAGTGGAAGAGAATTGGGAAAAACCATGCTTGGCCTTTCTCTGCCTTCGCGTGGTGCGCGTCGTCGTCGGCGTCGCCGACTGCGTCGGCTACTGCGGCAGCGTCAGATATCGACGCTATGGGCACCAACTTATCAGCCAGAACGATACGAGAAATGTCTGTGTTTTCGCGCTTCCACTCACAAACGTAACACGAAGTGGTTCGTTGTCAACATATCGAACCGAGACGACGATAATGATAATGATAATGATTGGACGAAGAAATTGAGACTCTCTCCGATTTCCAGAACGAAATGCGACTCTGATAGCTCGTTGGTTTGCGTAGATTCTACCATCTATCGCCTCGGTGGATTTTATCGTGCCCCAAAATGTTATAACAATCGTCCTACTAAAGATGTCCTCTGTTTGGATGCTAGCTCTCCCTCTCCCCGATGGAAGAGTATCGTATCTATGAATGTGAGAAGAACTTGCCCAACCACAGTGGTTGTTAATGGAAAGCTGTATGTGATGGGAGGTAATTCTATCAGAAACCCTGCTGAAGATACTGAAACTGATCGCTGGGCTGAGGTCTTTGATCCTCACACTAAGAAATGGAGTTTTCTTCCCAAGCCTCCTGATGATTTGTTGCCTTCGGGTGAAAATTTAGTAATGTGTCTGGGTCTTGAGGATTTACACAAGATTATGGTGACACCTTACAATTCTTCAAAACAAGCCTACTTGTATGATATTTCTCAAAACATTTGGACTTCCAAGCACCATGTCGATCTATGCGACCATCGATTTGTATCTCGTGTTGATAATAAAGATACGGCTGTGTTTGGGAATACTCTGTATTGGTACGACAAGAACTACCGCAGCGTGAATGCGTACGAGTGGGAAACTGGGAATTTATTGTCCGGGAAGCTCAAAGGGTTGGGGACAGCAGGGTGGAAGATGGAGGATATTCGGGTCCAAAAAGACATTTATTTATTTCATTTGAGTGGTAAATTGTTCTGTTTGGTTTGGAATGAAGAGCTTAGTAGTACTGTACATTGCTCCAAATTTGTAGTGGATACATCATGCTATTCCCATGACAATTGCAATGGGTCTCTTTGTGCTTGGGTTCTCTCTTCTCAAGATTATTATCTTGGTCACAACACAACTCTTTATGATGCTGCACTCATGTAAGTTTCTGGGTTTCTCTTCTCTGCTGATAAATGCTTATTTTCTTTGACCCTTCACCCCGTTTTGTCGTTATTTGATTCTGAATTTGAGTAGAAAACTTGATTTGATATGAATTACTCAATTTTTTTTAAACAAATTTTCATCAATTTTTTTTAAAAATTTCTGTTCTTAACTCAAATTTCACTTTCCATCAAATTTGATGGAGAAAAAAAAAAGAAAAAGAAATAGTTTCCAATTGTTTATCGACTTGTTAAAATTTCATCAAATTTTAATTTGATAGTAAAAGATTTTGATGAGTTTTCAAGTTGGTGAAAGCATTGGAGATAGTTTTTTAGGACATTTTCATCAAATTTTATGTAAGAATATGTGAAGGATTGAAGAAGCTCTTATATATGTGTATCAGTCTAAGTGAGAGCATCTCCAACATTTCACTAATTTTCTCAGCTAATTTAATTTTAAATTTGAGTAAAAAATTTGATTTCATATAAACTATTACAATCATTTCATAAAAATCTTTTTAAAAATTCATCTTTTATTCCAAATATTTCTTTTCATCAAATTTGACAAGAAAAAAAAAATTATAAAAAAATTTATTTCCAATGCTTCATCTTTTTAAATTTTCATCAAATTTGAATTTGATAAAAGGTTTGACGAGCTCTCAATTTGATTGAAAAAAACACCCTTGATTTGATTAACATTTGATGAAAGGGTTGAAGATAATTTTAAATAATTTTTCATCAAATTCAGGAATAAAAAGTCTCTATTTGATTCTGCTGGAAAGGTGCAATCACATCAAGAAAATAGCTCGGCAATGAGTGTGGAACCCCCCAACTGAGTTGGTAGGGAAGCTGAGAAGACCATGGTAAGTAAAACAAAATTATCATGTTTATTTAACGTTGAGTTGTTAGTTATTCCTTTGTGCTCTAGCTTGTAATTGATCTATCTATGCAACCCCTAAAAACAAGAAAAAAAAAAACTATTTATGTACATTATTTGGTCAGGGCTTTGTTATTTCTTAATGTTTTAAATTTTTTTTTTTTTTTTGGCTTGTCGAAATTGACCTTCCATTTCTTAGCATTTTTTTTTTATCAACAAAAAAGAGATTCGTTGATGCAATATAAAAGTACGAGGTGTATAGACAAATTACATCAAGAAGACACAAAAAGCCAAGACGAAAAGTATCATAACTTAAATATCATACCCTAGCTAGATTGAAACATTAATCAAAGCCAAACAAATGCAAAGTCAAAGGCCAACAAGAAAAAATCAAGAACACACTAAAAATTAAGAATCTAACAGAGCAATCCAAGCACTTCCTTTCTTAGCATTTGAAGCTTATCAGCTATTTCATGGTAATTGCACTGTACAGTCTATACTTATTTGGTTTTTTCATAGTAAGCTTTTGATTTTTTGCACTCTAATGGTTTGGTCACAAAGAGAATTGAGAGTAGTTTTGAAGTCTGTATTGCCTATCAAAAAAAGAATTAAGAGGTGATTGTACTAGCTTCTTTATCTAATTTCATTGGTTTGAAGTTTGTACAAGTTAGTTTGGTTCGAGTAATTATTGTGAGCTAGGTCAACTAAGCCTTAATTTTTTAATGCCTGCATGTATTTTGTCTGTGATTCAATTTTATTAATCTTTGTATAATGTTGAATTTGTTTTAATTTAATGGTCACTTAATGTTAGCATGTTCAACTGAGGGTATGGATTGAATATAAGTTGGTGTGGCTTCTAGTGTGACATAGTTTGTGATGCAGAGTGTTTGGCTATAAAATTTCTAAAATTCATGGACAAACAAGGCAAAGGCAAAAGACACTAGTAGAGGTAAAACAACTTGTGCTTGGAATGACGTGAAATTCAGTCGAGACATGGAAAATGCCATGGCAACTAGTACGCATCGCTTCGCCATGGCCTACTATGGATTACAGTTAAATTCTAATATCTAAGACTTTAATTTCACGATTTTGCTGTTTTAGGAAATATTTGATTTGTCTATATAACTCGGTCTAGATGAATCCAATTGGAGCTGGATTTTTTCCCACTATATGTATTTTTAGTTTCCACATTTGAGCTTAACTCAAATATTTCTATTTTTAGTTTTTTTTTTTTTGTTTTTTGGGTACCGTCTTTGATTTAGTCTTGATTAGCAAGTATTGTCTTTTTCGATTTACTTTTCAATTTAATTAGAACGTCGTATTAGTGTAAATAATGATGTAAGCCTTAAGGCAATTGACTTTTGATATAATATGTAGAGAATTCTCTTCTTTTTTCTATAATTTTGGTAATATTCAAATTCAACGTATTGTAGAAATGTTGCAACTTCCTTTGTTGTGCGATTCTACTACGGTAAACTATGTTTCAATTTAATTAGAACTTTGTATTAGTGTAAATAATGATGTAAGCCTTAAGGCAATTGACTTTTGATATAATATGTAGAGAATTCTCTTCTTTTCTCTATAATTTTGGTAATATTCAAATTCAACGTATTGTAGAAATGTTGCAACTTCCTTTGTTGTGCGATGCTACTACGGTAAACTGTGTGAATTTGATTTTTTGGGTGTGGCCACATTACTGATTAGGAGTATTGTGTTTTTTCCAAAGCTGTTTGACTGTCGCTCAGGGATGTTGTTGTAGACATGTTAGTCTTAGGCCTCGTTTGACAACCTTCCATTTTAGTCAAAAAATCATTATAAATTGTTACATTATTTTCTCTATTTTTTTTGTATATCTTTTCGTAAAAAGTAAAAAAATTACTAAAATAACATATTCTCAAATGAGGCTTTAGTAGGTTTTTGTCTCCCTCCACGTTCAGGTAAAATGTTGCTCTGTTCATGCTTGTCCTATTGTTTATTTGTTTAGTTCTTTGTAAAATATTCTGTCTAAATATTAATATGAGCCCCATATATGGTTAACTGCTTGATATTTGCCTTGTTTGATGGGGAGGAAAAACAAATAATCCAGTAGTGGGCTTGGCTCCTGATTCTTTATTAATTTTCACTTAACTTATTTGATTTAATTTAAGCCTTATGATTTATTTCTCGTCTTGTGTAAGACCTAAAAGGGAAATAATATTATCACCGAATTTAAAAAAATAAATTTATATATTATTTTTCTTAATTAATATTATCATTGTACAAGAAAAGGAGTTTGCTTTTGGAGTACTTACGTGTAAATCCTAATAAGTGAACTTGTTGTCTAATAGGTCATATGAAAAAAAATTGTCATAAAAAAAGTCACTAATTGTAAGTTTTAGCGACAATTTATAAAAATCATGACAAAAAAAGTCGCTAATTGTCAATTTTTAGCGACATATATAAAAAATTGTCACAAAAAATTATTTTTAGCGACAATTTTATCGTGATTTATTTTCAATAGGACTTGATGAGAATTAAGTCTAACTATTAGGACCTATTGGTTGTTTACCCTTTGTTATTCCTAATTTATAGGTTGGGTAACACAACCATCAGAATTAGGGGTGGTCACGGGCCGGTTCTGGTTTGTTTGAGTTACGTGTTGGACTCACCCGTGTTATCTCAGATAGGCAACTCAAGAGGGAGGGTGAATTGGCTTATTTAAAAAAAAATTACAATATTAAAATTTATAAACACAATATTTAGAAATTTAATAAATAGAAAATAGAATAATAATTATCAATATGAAAAATAAGAGAGATATGGAGAGAAAATCAAATACTGAGATTTATAGTGGTTCGGTTTGCTAGGCCTACATCCACTCCCCTAAGGAACCTTCTTGAGAATTTCTTTACTATCAAACTAAATTAATACACCACCAAGTCTTCACCAAACTTGTGGATTTTGCACAAGATTTACTCTTATCTATTGAGCCTCACTCAACAATAAATGCCTCACCCTTACAAAAATCTCTCATAAAAATAATGAAAAAAATAGGTGGTACTTAAACACTCTTTTACAATAATTCTCTCATAAATAGTAGATATGAAAGTGTAAGAACAAAGGGTACACTTAGATCTGAAAGTGAAAGAGCAGAATACAATATTCAAAATTTTGGAGCACACAGAATTTTTTCTCTTCAAGTTCTTGATTTTTCTCCATACACAACACTTCTATTTATACCAAAAAATATACCCGTTGGAAGAGAAGACGCTACTCGACAGCATATCTTTTTTTTCTTAGTCCACTTTTCCTTTGTCCAACTTTCACACCTTTTTTTTGTCCACTTTTGCGGGCAAGTCATCATAATTTTGAGTACAAAATTCAATTCACACTTATATATATATATATATATATATACATATACATATCAGATAATATATATATATACCCCTCTTAAAAGTTTTGTAATTGTTGAAGAGATTATAAATACACTTAAATAAAATAAAAATAACCAATCATCCCATGTGAGTATATCAAAAAAGAATAATTCATTAATATCACATTTGTAAAAAAAAATAAAAAATTAATCAATTTTAATTGTCAAAAAGTAAATAGTGACCAGCCAACCAATCAATCAATTTTGTCAAAATAATACAACTAATCAATTTTAAATTTGTCAAAAAGTAAATAGTGATATTTTCAAAAATTTTCCATTTAAATAATATTTTTAACAAATATGTCATACAACCTATATTTTAAACAGATAATATTTTGTGTCAAATAATATAGAGTTTGTATAAAAAAAAATTCAAAATTTTCAAATAATCTTTTAGACATCAGCAAAATTAAACAATATGATTAACAATCTTTCCCTTTTTGATGATGGCAATATTTGTATGAATTTGACACAAAATAGAAATCAACAAGTTATTTCATAATTTTGCAACATAAGATATTTAAAGCATATACATGCACAACAATTCAAAATCATATGTATGCACAGCAATTCAAAATCATTTTTTTTTCTCCCGCTTTGACATCATCAAAATAAACTATAGAGATAGGAAACACACACAGTTGATACAATAATTTGAGATGCCAAAAATATAATAATATTCCTTAGGTCTTGTCGAAATCATTGTGGGGATTTTGGCGCATCTTAAGCGCATAAAAATGTTGACAAATAAAAGATTTAAACAGATATACATCGAGGATTGGATCGATGGAGTGTATAAAAAGTGACAAGGATGATAGGCAAATAGACGAAAATATCAAATGTTGGAGAGAAAAATTTGTTTTACCTTCTTGGGTAATCATGTCATTCATTACTTTAGCCATCAATGGTTCAGACATGTATGAGGTGCCTGTAATGCAGACAAATGAGAGGTGTATGTGTTGTTTTCTGACCACACTGCCAAACAGGTACTCAGTTGGAGAACACTGGCAGAATAGATTGCGTCCAAACGACCTGTCACAGAAAGAAAAAGACTCCGACAATGGTTCATTCACCCGGGGACACTCCGACGATCAAGTCAGTTATCTCTCCAAGATAGCAAAAGTGCTTAACTCACTATTCAGAATACAAAAAGCGTACCTTAGACCCACGAGGGTGCCTTACTTCTATAATCAATATTGACCTGATCCCTATAGAAGCTTAGCTTCAATGGATTCTGGCTTGATGCCTATCTAGGACTCTCAAATAGATAAAGATAAACTCCCTAAGAGCTTTATCCTTACCCAGGTTGAAGTTCTCTCTCATTTTAGGACTCTTGTAATTTATCCGCTCATCTCGGATTCCGGTATCTCTGTAGATAACCTCGGCCTAGCCGAGATTACCTCGGCGTCAAGTTAAGGACACGTGGCACATCGGCTGGCATTTCGGTGCCACCTTGGCCACGTGTTGCTATCCAAAAAATATATCCCCACAATTGCTCCCTAGGTTCTATTACCTCGGCATCCTAAGGTGATGGAACCTATATCATTTGAACCTATAGCACGTCGGCTAAACTTGTTCTATCATTCCTTACCGAGGTTATCACACAGCGGCTTCCATATGATAAACACTTTCGTGTGTTCGCATCAATGTTTTAGAACCAAGAACCAAGTTTGTTTAAGTTTATTTAGCCGAGATTGTCCTCCTAGCCAAGATTGTTGCTTCATTAAATCAAGAACTCCAAGAGTTTTCACACGCATATGAGCTGTGACGCACAGTATTTCAACCGTTTTTGCCACACGTCTTTTCCCTATTGAACCGTACCTGACATGCGCCATTAAGTCGCGTCACATTTACGTGCGCCACCTGACAAACACATCATCCTAGGCACACTAATTGCGTTTTGCCGCCTTTTTCGTGTTTTGACAAAATCACTTCCCTCTCTCTATTCGCCGTTTCACTTTTGCATCTTCGTTTTCATTCAAACTCTCTCTCTCAAATCCTCCATTGCTTCAAGCTCTCAAGCTCTGCAACCATTTCGTTCACCTCCTCCAGTGAAGCTCTTGCTGCTCCTCTCCATTTACTGCCACCGTCTGACCTCGGCGTACCTCACACCGGCTTCATTTTCTTCGATGAGTTACTATTTTCCCCCGTTTTTAGTTTAAAACTCCGTTGTTTTTGTCTATTGCCATGGTGAATGTCTTCATGCTCTTCAATCTTTATCTGTGCTTCAAACTTTATCATGCGCGTGTTTTGAGCAAGTCCTGTCTTGTAATTTTTTGTGCTTGTCTAATTAGTTCTTGATTCTTGACCTTTATGTACAAATTACACACACACTCGCTCCACTTTGCTACTATTCTTGGCCTTGCACACCTGCACAAATTTATTTAGTGTTCTTTGATTTCTTGTTTGTCTTCCTGAGTTTGAATCGTGCTCTTGTCTTTGTTTTCTGTGTCTTTTTCCAGATTCTTGACTTCAGTCCTAATTTATGTAGTCTTAGGTTTGGGACTTGTTTCTAGAACTTACAAACTTTAAGAAAAATTGAAAGAAATTCCTTTTAGATCCTTAAAACTCTTGCCCCAGCATTCGTTTAGGTTTTGCCGAGGTCCTCTAAACCTTAACAAACCACTTCTTTCTGAAATCCAACTCCCTCCCTACTTAGCCAACATTATGGGAATGTTTAGGTGGAGGGTAGACACCCTAGAGAAGCTTGAACACTTTAGGCAGGAGTTCTCCATCCCCGTCGACGTCCACTTTAGGTTGGCTGGGGATGAAGACTCAATCATGCCCAAAGACAATTTCATGCCCTTTCCAGTAGTAGCCTTTATTGAGTGCGGGCTCAGGTTTCCCCTTGACATCCTCTTCCGCCAAATCCTTCACTACTATAAGCTTAACCCAATGTAAATAGCCATCAACTCTTTCGAGTTATCAACGGCATAATTGCCTTAGC